ACCTGAAAGAATGATTTACCCCTTCAAGAAAATACTAATGAGGAACACCATTAATAGGAGGCTTTAGAAAACGACATATAAATTGCTAGTTGTTGCCACTATTAGTAATGGATAATTGAAAAGGCCTTTTGTGCACCAAAAGCTGAATGGTAACAATCCAGTTACAGTAAAAGAATAGAAAACGTATGCAATATGGAACGGGGGAAACTATCTCAAGCAATAGCAAAAAATTGTCTTTATTCTAATAATATCCCAACGATTTTTTAAGGGAAAGGCCTAAAGATGTTTAACAAAAGCTATTCATGGAGCATAAATAAAATCTTTACAGTCGCAAAATTGAAAATGCATATTGAGTCAAGGAAAGATTTAATACAGTAAAATCCTTGACTAGATACTCTAGACTAATACTATGCAATATGAGATGTATTCACCATATTTCGACTAAAGTGATAAAGGACTAGTAATAGAATTTTCCCACGATGATATGACTAGAGCTGACGTTTCCATTGAATTTCACATAGCCTTGCTTTTCCCAAAGTTGTTCTCATCCAGGGTGGACTTCAGTTTCGACCTCGCATAGGTCTTATCAGCACGCCAAGCGGGATTCGAACCATGACACTGCAGCATGTAAGCTTGACACGCAACTTACTACGCCACATTGCTACGAGTGCCCTTGGGTCACAGAGTAGATGTGAATTTCAAAGAATGTCAAGCATTTCCCATATAACAGTCTGTGTTGGGATTATCGATGAAGCCAAATTAAATTTGCTATAACAATCAACGACATTACTTTTATAGTAAATGAGTAGGTTTTCAAGACTACCAGTAAATCAAATATGAGTTGTATTTATCCTATTTCGTTTAAGGCGATGTAGGACTGGTAGTTGATTTTCCCACAATTATATGAGTAGAGCTGGGTAGAAACGACAGTCCACCATGGATGAAAACATCTTTTTGGAAAGCAAGGCTGGATGAAATTCAATGGAATACTACCAGCCCTTCATCGCCTTAAGCAAAATAGGGTGAACATAGCTCATCTATCTGATTTACTGGTAGTCCCAAAAACTACTCATTTATGATAGAATTACATTTCGCCAAGATAAAACAACCAACCAAACGGAACCAGCTTACTATTTACTGCTATCAGCATTTCAGTATAAAAGCCACTAAGGTTTATTGTTCTTTACTTCAAAATAAATCATTTACAGAATAATAAAATGATTTAAATTTTATCTTCATTTTACCCATCGTCAAGTGACATTTGGCTAGCTCTTACGGACCTGTGTTACTACGGAAACGGAATCGGAATTCATAGTAATTAAATTGACACTGCCTGAAAAAGTGATTATAAATTTATTAGGAAGAATCCTTGGCTTTACACACTGTTTGTTTGATGGTTTGTAATTTGAAACTGCCCAGTTATCGTGTCTGAACATTTTATGCAAGCTTGTTAAGTATCAAAGATGGATTACTATTAAATCGAAATAAGAACTCTAAGCCCTGTGTTTTATATTCTGTGCTGATTTGCTTATAGCTACTTCTTTCTGGTTCTAATAGATCCTTTGTAACGTTATTTGTAAATCTACCAGATTGAAGAGAAGAATTGTATGGCAAATCGTACATTGACTTAATGGGGTTTTCAGCCTCATAGACATCACATGCTTGAAAATTACATCTTCTAAGCTTTGAAGGATAAACCGAAGAAACTTTTTCAGCTATATTCTTAATGCCATCCCTTCTTAATGGTTCTGTAAAGTGAATTTTACTTGGAAGTAATACCAGGCTTGTAGAGAGCGTTGGGCCATTTCCAATAAAAAAATCGTAACCAATATAAGATGATTCAGCAATTTTTGCGTTTTCGGCTTTTATTAAGGCTTCAGATACGTATTCTTCCTCGATTGGCATGCACTCATCTTCACTTGTAGTCAACCGCTTGAATTTTGTTCTCCGATTTTGAAACCAAACTTTCACCTAAAAAAAATATTGTTTTATTTGGAGTAAATTTATGCCAGATTAAATTATAAGAGAATCAGCAAATAAATACTTCTTGCTATAGGCATTATAACAGTACAGGTTCGAACATATGGCATTTTGCTTTGTTGTGAAGCATTTATTGAATTATAAAACTATTAAGTTTTCCGTTGACATTTGAGAGAAATCGATCCTTCCTACTATATTAGTAACGATCCCTTATTTCATTTTATCCCCATTCTTAGTTTTATTTAGTTATTTTTCTCTTTTTAAAAATTAATAATTTATTAACCTATAGTATTATCATTGTCTTAGCTATTTACTTCATAATATAGCATAATACTTTAAACATCTTTATGATGCAAACGTAAAATTCATTTAGTTGGATTTCTTGTTTTTGCTTAAAGGATTGGGACGGGGACATAGTTAATTATGGTCATGTATTTATGCATTATAAGCAGCCAAATTCATCAAGTTACTGAGCAATTTACAAATTCTGAGCTTGTTTCATCTTTCAGCTTTTGTTAATATGATCATAATCAATGACTGTCTGTCTTATGAGTCAAAGCTTGGTTGAAATTTAATCTACCTGGATCTACACAAATTGAAAGGGTATATTTTTGGCTCAAAGTATATTCTGCCCTGTTTAAAATATTCCATTTCTGTGGTGGGATTGTCAAAGAAGCCACAGAAATCGAGATCATTACTTAGTTTCCGTCGATCGCTTAGTCGACAATACCACTATTGAAATGCGATATCGGACAAGGCTTGGCCTTCAGTGAAATTCACATATCTCCTGTGACCTAAGGGCGCTCGCAGCAGTGTGGCGTAGTGATTGATTTGTCGAGAGTATACTCTGCAAAACAACAACCATGATTCGAGTCCTGCTGCAGTGCTGATGAGACCTGTTCAGGCGAGATCGCAAAGACATCCTTTCTTGCCCGGATGAGAATACCTTTAGGGATGCAAGGCTATGTTAAAGTCGATGGAAACGTAGGGCCTATTCAACTAACAAGCCCTTCATCACCTTAAATATAATATGTTGAATTCAGCTCTTGGATATATGTATTAAAAATGTATGCAATTATGCATGCTTTTTTTGGTATGAAATCCCTTAGTGTATTCAATCGTGCATTAAAGGAGGAGATATATGGCTAAAATTTCACATAAAGAAGGCTTTTATTATAAACCACATAATAAATTGGAGCTATTACTATTTTAGAAATTTGAATTACGCATATATTAAAATATTTGTGAATACACATTTTATTGTCATTATGCCTTAATTCATGCATTTATTTAGGCAAAACTTCAGTTAAGACCGGCCATTATTTATCTAATGACTAAGGATAGCATTGCTTTACTATTAAGCTGCATTAGATTGCATCGGAATTTCTAAAATATTTTGCCTCTTTGAGTATAGCTGTATATTTGACCTGGCATTCATCTGTAGATCGCTTGGGTTACACGTAAATATCTCTTGATTTTCCTCCTTAAGTAGTAGTCATCTCAAAAGATGGGTTTTGAAATATTTTTTTTTTAAATAAAAATTAACCATAAGCCATACTTAATGTTTAAGATTGCTTTGTATACTAAGGCCTAGATTTATCATTTTCCTATGCCCGTTTGCCTACATACTTGTGCAGATATGCGCTTTTTTTTATAGATTATATCATAATTATACTTGTTTACTTTAACGAATCTTAATCTGTAAACACCATAACATATTCATGTTTGTGGAGGTAACATTAGCTATTGAACAAGCTATTATATGAAGTTTTAAGTATTTTATTTACAAGTGAAAATATAATGTGATGTATTTCCAATACTGAATACCAAACGACTTATGTGATTATGCAAATTAATAATATCGATGGTACTAATAATGATAAGTATTCTTGTATACTAGATCGATTAAGTCTATATATGAACACAGATATATATATATTCTCTTACCACATAAATATAGTTGGTACAAACAGCCCAGTGCAATTTGTGCAAAAGATACTACTTTAACAATTTAATAAAAAGTTCAAGCTACTCTGCCTCTAGAAGGAAAGAACGCATAAATGGGCTTGAAAAGATATGATATAAAGACCAAGATGGTATGGCCTCTGGTATGTTCGCTGTCTCATTTCGATTTATAGAAGTGGATTAACCTCGTTGTCGTAACCTGGTCTTGTTGTCAGGGCGACTTTGTAGAACACACCTTATCCGAAGTCGTTTGCCATAGTAGTTGTCATTATTCCCAGCATCAGACAGTGGAATTGGTACATTCTCAAACGTTTCACCGACCAATTCCATTGTCTGATGCTGGGAATTATGACAACTAGTATGGCAGACGACTTTGGACTAGGTACT